GGAGGAGGAGTAGGGGGGGTTGGTCCGGGAGAGCATGGCCGCAGAAGCCGAAGCGCTGCAGACTCGGTTTGCTTCCTCCACATTGACAACACCGCTTCTCGTGCGCTCTCGGTGAGGTGATGTTGCGGAGCCGCTCGTCAGGGTGACGTTTTCACCCGGAGATTGTGCGCGTTTACGCAGAGAGGTTTGATTTGTTTTTTCCTGCGTGCGTTTGCTGTTTTTCGGCGGAGGGGTTAGAAGCACTGGGGCAGCTGCGGGTTCAGCCGGAGCTGAAGAAGCTGCCGGTTCGAGTCTTCTTCTTTCGGGCTTCTTCTCGGTTGAGTCACACCGAACAGGAGGAGACAGATCATAAACCGGAGAGCGCGACGCCACAAGGACTGCGTTTCTGCTCTGTTTATCTGTTGTGTTAACATTCATTCTCTGCTTTTTACATTCCCCCCCACTGCGCACCTCCTCTCCGGGAAATTAGAGGCGAGTTGGAGAAACTGTTTGCTGCGCGGAGCGGAGTTGAGCCGGCTGAAGATTGTTCAGGCAGAAATGCTGTGGCTTCCTCCCTGCTTCAAGTAGAACTGGTTTTCGAGTGAAGCGTTTGGTGCAAAGTCATTGATCTGACTGTCAAAACGCAGAGGGAGCAGTGAAACGCCGTTTTTTTTTTTTAAAAAAAGGAGAGAAAGACATTTCATTTAGTTCCAAACACCGAGCGGGGAGCTTCACCTGTAAAGCGGACTCTCCTCGCAACATTTCACCGCCACATCCGTCACCAGAAACCTTAAACCTGATCCACAGGACAGGGACTGTAATCCATTTGGCTTTCATCGGAGTTCCGGAGCCAATATGCCGCAGGTGGAAATGATCCTCTTCCTCTTCCTCGTCGTAGTGGTGTGCGTGTACGGCCAGGACCCGGCTTCCAAGGTGGTGTCCGACCGCTACGCCGTCTACTGGAACCGGACCAACGCCAAGTAAGTAGCAACCCGCCCGCTCTCACTGCAGGGACGCGCCGGCACACAGGGGCTCCCTGCGCCGACGTTGCCCGCTTGAAGCTGCACTCAAACCGGTTTACAGTAGTTTAATCGTTGAGTGACAGTACGCACGCTCGTGAGTGAGTGTGTACACTCACGAGCCCCGTTTGGTGCATCACTAGAAGCCCCCCCCCCCCCCCATTGGAGAAGCTTAACAAAACGTCACTTTATATATTTAGAATTTAAAAGCTAACCTGCCATTTCATCAATTTGTAACAATGCATATAGAACATCTGCTTTGCGCTCCCACCGTTATGAACTCTTCTCCGGCACACACAAGGTTGATCAAACGAGTGTGTGTGTGTGTGTGTGTGTGTGTCAGCTCCACTACATAATTGATGTGCTGTCTTCACTGATCGTTATAATGTGATGATACAGTCTAATAATCCTCCGTATCTGAATCAGCATGAATCCCGCTTGACGGAGGAACGAGATCATTTCCACACTGTGGATGTGCGCTATTACGCGCTAGTACGCGCTATTACGCGTTTATGTTCAGTGTCATGCTGCACGTTCAGGTTGAAAAATGAAACATATGAGGAGCGCCCGCAGAGATGCATTCCGGCTGAGCGTTACGCCGCTGCGTTGAAATAACTCTCGAGTCTCTTCCAGTCTGCTGCCACGGATTAGAAATGACAGAATTGTTTTTGTGCCAAATGGTGATACATCCTGTCAGACTGTGGAGATATTTAGTCTTTGTCAAGTTAGAGTTGATGTGGTTTATTGTACAGTAAAGCGCTGCTCATGAAGTGTATTTTGTTGTTACGGGTGACTCAAAACATGCAGTTCAAAACTTAAGGTTGCGTCCTGTTTTTTATAAAGCAAGTTCCCCCCCCCCCCACAAAAAAAGTTTGTTCATAGGAGTCCAGATCCTTCAGTTGAAATACCAAATTGACAATTCTCTCCTGAGTATGTCAGGGCACCTCCCTGGGTGACTCAGTGCTTCACTCTTGGCACTCGAGCACATGGTGTGTGTCACTATGAGTTGGAATACTTTCGCTGCCAGCGGCAGTTTCGGGCATTAGTTTATTAAATAAACAAAAAAAAGAATAGAAGTGTACATCGATGTTTGGTCGGGGACAAGAAACTGGTCTGTTGCGCTGCAGAGGAGTTGACCTGACAGGATGTTAATGATGCAAATGCAAATGTTGTGGTGGCTTCAAAGGCTGACAGAGTTCCTGCTCCGCTAACAGACGGAGATCAGAGTCTGATAACAGATTTCTGTCCCACAGAGGCTGCAGGTTGTTCTTTTCTCTCTCCTTCTCCCTCTCTCTCTCCTGGCCTTCAAACAGTTCCCAGTTCCCGAGTCTGGTTTCTTGGTTGCCATGCTCCCCCATCCAAGTGCCCCCCCCCTCCCTCCTCAATCTCTTCCTCCCCCTCCCCGACCCACGCTGGGGCAGACAATAAGGGGGTACACAGGGGCATTTCAGCAGAGGCCAAGGCACAGCGTGGCGCTCAGTCTTGTGAGAGATCCACACATGCTGAGGTCACACACTTGGTAGTAACCAGGCAAGTTGTGGGTTAAGCAGCGCAGAGGGGACCGTTGTCAGGGTCAAAACCGGGGCAGTACCGCCGGCCATGGGGCCCGGTGGCGGCCCCGGCGCGGCACCCCGCCTGGGCTTTGTCTCTGCAGAATGGGGGGCTAAATAAATGAGTAACTCTAAATGACTGTCTCCTTTTCTCATTCATGACTTTAATCTAAACCTGAGCCCGGCTGTATAATGTATAGGAGAGGGCCGTACTTAAAGACTGCCCCCCCTCCCTGACCTGTAGCAGAACCTAACAGTATTCCGTACGAGCTTGCGGGCCCCGGAACCCTGCTGTTTAATGTAACCATACTCAGTATTGGAGCCCCAGGAACCTGCTGCGGTACAGTCCCAACTTCCAGATGAGCTTTCTTACCCCCCTCTTCTGCCTTCTCTGCTGCATATTTGACCAAAGTGGGGAGAAATGGCATCCGGAGCAGCAGTCCATACTCAGCCATTCATGAAATCCCCTACAGGAGCTCTGGAATTGAAATGGGAAGTGAGTCGTGAAAAATGGAAATGCGATGACATTTTCATGTTTTTCTATTGTTTGAAAGGGGCTGAAAGAAACCTCTTTTTTGGGGTAATTTAGATAAACATGCGTCCGTGTTTGCTGGGCTTTCATCTCGGGGGGGAAATATCTTCCTGCGCTGAGGCTTGTTGCTGATTAGGCTCAGACGAGCAGGACTCTGGGAGGAGGAGGGAGATTTACAGCCCAGAGGATGGCTCAGCTTTGCCTGGAGTTTGAAAAAGCTTCCACTGACAGCGGGTAGCTGTGCTAGTATAAGCTACTTAATGAAATTAAATGAAACTCCAGAATCAGGGAGCCTCGTTAGAAAGAAAGTGCAGAGACACAGTTGATTGATTGATTGATTGACCAAAAGGGCTGCAGATAATTGTGCCATTTTGGTATTTATCCATAGTTCCCTCAGTGCAGAGGCTGCAGTAAAAGCTTTTGCATTGTTCGCTCTACTCTGAGTCAGTCCATTAGTCAAAGTGTGCACATAGTTGCTATGGAGGTTTGGAAAGTCTGGGCACTCACCTAATTTGGATATATTCCTGAAGAAGACGTGTAAAGAGTATACTTGGCAAAACACTGTTGTGACTCCTTTAGGTCGTAGAATGATTTCAGATAGTCAGAATAATGAAGAGCGATGCGTAGCGGCCGTAGCACTATCGCCAAAGTTTAGAAGCCGAAAGTACAGTACAGGGTTCCGCTTCCAAGCATAACATGTATTCATGTTTATAGATCTGTTAGAAGCCATTTGTCAGAACAATTTATTTTGAGAAAAAGTAGACCCCACCTCCTGGGAAAGAACTGCATTGTGCAACTTATAGACTTTCCTACTGCAGAATTTATGATTTACTAACATAAAAACTGAACACCCGATGGCTCATTAGAAAGTGAGAAACCTATTTTAAAAAACTAGAAATGAAGGAATTAACAACAAATTGTGTACGTGGCAAAGTACAAACTTAGCCGTAGATACTGTGTGTTTTTATTGTGATAATGAGGAATAACGTGTAGCTGCTGTTATGTTGTAGCCCGTCCTATTGACAAGGATAGAGTTAAGTTGTAATAAATGGTGAATGAATAGTTTAGAGTAAGATCAGAGACTGTGGTGTTAGTAGCTAGTTGCTAATGTCTGATCTATGTAGTATAAATAACTTATTTATTAAATATAAGTTAGTATGCCTATTAGAAAGTTGGAAATATAAAAACATTCTCTGTACATGGATTTAATATGAACACAATCGTTATTAATAGCTTCTTAAGGACCTTTGATGTATGAACAAATGATATATTAACATTAATAAAGCCATTAATTACAACTGATAAACCTTTTATATTGTGCTTTATCAGATAAGATTCAAGGAAACCGACCATTTTTCCTTTTTGTGTGATCAATAAAGTGCTATTAACCATTAATAAAGACATTAGCTACTGCTTCTAAAGCCAGTATTAAGTATGCTGTATAAGAAAGTGGCAAGAAGACAGAAACCTCCCAATAAGCACGAGAAATCAAAACCCGTAGAATAATGAAAAACAAAAACTATAGCGTTTCATGGTGGAAAAGCTCATGTAAGAAAAATGAGTCACAGATGTTGCTTGTCAGCTTCGCCGTCTGTGGCGGCAACCAAATGATGGCATGAAGTGTATGAGCGGGGTATTTACTGCTGCTCTGACAAGGAGCTATTAGTGAATTCCCTGCTCACCAGCTATTTAGCTGCTTCATTAAAACCCACCCGGGTCCATATGGTCCGCACGCAGGCGTTGCCGAGGCCCAAGGTGTTTATTTGCTGCTGATAGGTGGGATCAACGGAGATTCGGGGCCGAGTTCCGTCCCTAATCTCCCAAGCTGTTTGTGTCTCCGCCGCCATGGAAACTGATACCCCTCGTCATCAAAGAACCTCATTGGGTGGGACTAAGGACCTGACAGCTGGGGAGAGAGGGATTCCAGCATTCAGCGAGAGCACCGTCACCCCAGGGGTTTCCTTTAATCCCTGATAATGCCCATCCAAAGCTTCCCCCAGCAGATGCAACATATTTCTCCGGTAGACAATCAAAGAATTGTTTCAGAGGCCTGTTTGCATGTGTGATATAAGTGTGGCTGTTGACTTTAAAAAGGCCTCTGACGTTCTTAAGTACGTCCGGAAACTGAGTAGAACAGACAGATTGGTTTTTGGTTGAGGTTCTACCTCAGAAAATGGGAGCAAGCTCCTCGACTTGACACATTTCTTCTCGCAGCAGAGCGACCTCCGCTACTTGCTTTCCCTACTCTGCTCTCTTTTTAATCTCCACTTAAAGAAACAATACTTGATTTTTCCCTCGGTGGCGAGCCGATGTTGTGATAGATTCCCAGTGGCATTGTGAGTTGCCCCGTTTGCATTGTTCCCACTGTTTACCCTCGCTTTCCCCTCTCAGCCTCTTCCCGGGCTCCCTGCTGCTCGGTTCCGCTCGGATTAAAAAACGGGACACAAAAAAAGGCAAAGCACGTCCAAATATTGACTGGGTCTCAGGACCGCAGCCCTCTCCCAGCGTTGGCACCGAGCACCTGAAAGGCCGCCATTGTTCCGCTCGTACTCAGTGGCCCGTAGCTGAGCAGGGAGACACACTGGGAGAAGGAGGGGACGGGAGGGGGGGTGCATATGTTAACTGAGGGGGGGGGGGGGATTAGAACAGGAGGGACAATACAGTCGCGGGGGTGAGAGAAACTTCCTCATAAGAGGCCAGAGGCTACGACAGGGGGGACGGTGTTCAGGCCGTGGAGTCCCCCGGGGTGGGGTCAGAATTTTTCCACCCTGAGGAAGTAAGTGTCAATCACAAAAAGGCATCAAAGAGAGCTGACTGAATGTGATTTCCTCCGGAGAGGGTTCAGAAAGTATCAATAACCTGAGGATGAGAGGCTTCTT